AAACTTAACTAGTCTCCACCAGTTTGTGAGGAGGTTAGATTAGGGATATGATACCCCCGTGATTTTTAGTATTAGAAGAAATCATGGTACACAGGTGAGTAGGTTAACCTTGGCCTAATAGTTCCTTATGAATAGAAGGCCGAGTTAGTTTGATGGACGTAGCCCTTTAATAGCTATTAGTTTCATGTTGGAGGTAATAAGAAAATATGAGGCTAGTATTGATCATGCATTTAGTTTTGATCATACGGTCGTTATTATTGTGGTCCAGTGTGTTTTAAGGGCACATGATTATTAGTTTTACGACCTCAGGATGCACATAATTGATATATATGATGATATATATTGTATGTTTAGTGACATGGTTGTTATTATTATGACCGAGGCTATATTTACCATATGTGCATAATATTCATGTTTATTTTCATTTGCATTCATTTTTAATTAATATGTAACTATATAGACTAGGTGAACCTTGGTTATTGAGTGATTGTACTCACTCTTCATTCTTCAATATTTTTAAGGCTTAGCTAGTCGGATCCAGATCAGGGAAAAAGATTAGAAGCTTAGGATTCTAAGTAAATCCTACTAGTAGGCTTCTTAGATTTGTTTTTATGTGTATTCAAGTTGTTAACTTGCCAGCTAGGACTCATATAATTGTTTTGATCTACTTGCATTGTCATTGTGAAAATCATATGTATTTTGTGCCTTGAGTTAGTGGGATGTGACTGTAAAACTTGTATGGAGCTGAAATACTTGTACAAGTAGAGTAAAGTATATTTTGGGATGATTTGGACGAACATTGTTGATTTATATAAAATTTTCGTTCCCCTATGTTTTTGTAAATTGAGGGATTGAGGGTTGAATTTACGATATATGTGCATTTAAATGGGCGTGGTGTGTTGCACAATTCCAACATGGTCCATTAAGTGTGGTTTAAAGGTTGTTGTAGACTTTTCGCACATAAATATGAGTTTGAAAACCCTAGTTGTGCATATTTGTGAAAAAGGAGTGAAATTGATATGGGTGTCTAACTTTTGATAGAGAATGAATTTGACTGTGAAATTTATGTTATTAGCTAGAGTTAGTAGAAAGCTCTTTGTAAACACCAAAATCACCTTAATTAGATGTCGAATGGAGATTTAGAATGCATCACAAATTCATTGCTTGTGTTGTCAATTTGATAGCAAAATGATGTCAAAATCGTGTAATGTACCACATCACATGGTGCCTTATGCTGTGGTGCATGTGTTGTTTTTCTACACTTTTACTATTTGAATTTTATGCAAATGTTTGATCATCTATTTGATTCTTATGCTTCCGCAAACATTTTAAACTCTAATTTGAATATATTGATAGTATATAAGAGTATTTTTAAAATTGAAATCTTGAGATTTTATTTGTAAATGATGAAAACTTGGTAATTCTTTTTGGGTTAGACCCTTGATTACCTCAACTTTTAAAGTTAATGGTGATTAGAGAAATGATATTACACAAACAATAGCTTGCAGAGACTAGAAAAGAAACTATGGATGGATTATTCTAAGTTTGTCATGCAAGAGGAATTTATATGGTTTCAAAAGTCATGATATAAGTGGCTTAAATTGGGGGATAAGAATACTTGATTTTTTCATGCCTTATTAGTAATTATGAAAAAGTGACAAAGAATCGACTCACTCAAGAATGATGAAGGTAATTGGGTTTGTGATCCTATGATTCTCAAAAAACATGGCAAGTGATTATTTTAAGAACTTGTATACAAAAGATGCTATGGTTGATCATCATCATCATCATCATCATCTATGGCCTATGGAGTTTCCCCTACTTCTTGAATCAGAGTTATCTTGGATGTAAAGGAAGTTGACTGATATTGAGATCAAGAATGCAACTTTTGCTAAGGGCGCTTTCGAGGCCTCGAGCATGAATGACTCACATGCTCATTTCTTTCACACTCATTGGGACATTGTTGGCAATCAAGTGTGTAATTTGTTAAAGATGCATTTGTGAATCCTAGCTTGGTTAAGACTGTGATTTAAACAAACACTATGCTAATACCAACAGGGGACTCTTCGTCTTCACTTAAGGACATACCTATCTCCTTATGTAATGTTAGCTTGAAGATAATCACAAAAGTGCTAGCAAATTGATTGCAATTAGTGATGAAAAAGCTAGTTAGGCCTTAACAGTGTGGCTTTATCCCGAGCCTGTCAAGTTGTGATAATATTATTATTGCTTAAGAAGCTATTCATACTATGAGAACTAAGAAGAATAAGAAGGGTTTTGTGGGAGTTAAGGTTAATATGGAAAAAACCAATGATTGTCTTGACTAGGGTTTCCTTAAGCATACTTTATCGAATCTAAGATTATTTAATCTTTTTTTTGAGATCATCATGGCATGTACTACCTCTTTTCTATGACGGTCTTATGGAATGGTGAGCCTAATATTCCTTTCTTCCCTACTCAAGGTCAGGGGTGGAGAGAAGGGAAATCGATAGGGGCCACAGCCCCCGTAACTTTTTAATTTTTTCTTCGTAAGATATAGGGATTCTATATTTTCAGCTTTTCTATATTGGCACATTATAGAATTTATAAAACACTAGATGAAATTCTTATTTTAATTCTATATGTAGTATTTTACATATGTATAGAGAAGCTATTTCAATAGCTTGAAGATATAGTTGTCATATGATCTATTCATTTTCAACAAGATAATGTTATACATGCTCTTGAAGTATTAATGTCATTTTATTTTATTTTTTATTTCATATTTAATGAAAGAAACTATGAAAATTATTATTAACAAACTTTGTTAATCATTGCAACAAAAATTTCAAAATATATTGAATGCTATATGTTTGATATCTATCATAAAATTACTTATCCAAAAGTTAAGAGGTTTGGTGAAGATGTTCTTCTAAAAAAAATTACTTTTTTTAAATAGTTAAGCTATTAAAATTTGTGATATGAATAATTTTTACTTTGATATAACTTGATCTTATTGACATAAAGATTTTATGATAATTGAACATTATTAGTGTGTTGATATATTTATTCATTACAATTATCAATTGAAAAAAATTAAATAATAAATTCAATAAACAATTGATATAACTTATTACATTGAGCAGAACTTTAAATTTCAATGATATATTTAAATCATTTAATGCTCATAGGGATGATGACATTTTCACTAATTTAATGATAATTCATGTTGAGAAGGAAATCACTAAAGCATTTATCATAGACATAATAACTAATGATTTTTATAATATGAAAAATTGATGATTAAAACTTAATATATATATATATATATTGTTATACATGTGTAAAATTAAATATAAATATATATTTTAAAATATTTATATTATGTTGGTGATATATATGTATATATATTTAAATTTTCTTTAACTATCATATATATTTTGTCATCTCAACCTCTCTTAATAAAAATTTCTAGCTCCACACTTGCTCAAGGTGTTTGCCAAAGGAATCCCGCCTGTATTTATTTGTACTCTATATGGAAAGACTTGAACAACTCATCGTCAGGGAATGTATTCAGCATCAGTGGACACCAGTTATCTTTAAGGGTGGAGGTCCTTTAGTGTCACACTTATTTTTTGTCAACGATCTTATACTATTTGGAGAAGCTTCAATTGCCCAGATTAAGATTATGAGGGATGTCATGATAAAGTTCTGTGAGGCTTCAAGTCACAGAAATAATCTCCAAATCTAAAGCTTTTTTCTCTAGTGGTGTACATCTCCCTAGAGCAGTTAGGTTGAGCTAGATGTTGGGCATCGGACGGACATCCGATCTACGGAAATGCTTGGGAGTCCCCCGCATTCACTCAAGAGTCACCAAGGCAACTTTTGAAATCGTGGGAGTGGTCGAAAGTCTTCAGTTTTGCATGTTGGCTAATATGGACTTAAAGGTGCAAGCAGATTTTTTTTAAGGTAATTCTCGAACTCCAAAGGAAATTATCCATTCCTGTCTACATCTCCTAGCCGATAATGTAGCAGAGGACAAATGGAAACATCGAATTTTTATGGGGCTTGAGGAAACTACAACTCACTGGACTCCTCCTCCACCAGATTCTATGCGTGTAGATGTTGATGGATCAATCTAGCAATACAATCAAGCTACTTGTGGTGGTTTGATTAGGAATGCGAATGGTGATTCGTTGATGGGGTTCATGAAGAACCTGGGATGCCAAAGCTTAGCTGCAAAGGTATGGGCTTCACCAAGGTTTGTGTCTACTCAGATTCACTTAATTGTATTGGTCTATTGTTACGTGAGTGCTCGATCGACCATCCTCTTCGAGAAATTCTTGTGTAAGTGTGTGAGATGATATATGATCAATGGAATAGAATGTTCAAATCAGTTACTCCCCAAGACAAGCGATTGGCTGTGCATGTTCACTGGCTGAGGGTGTTCATTTCCTTGATTCTAACGTTCATCTGTTCTCACGTGCATCACAGTTTGCGCCCAAGCTTATTGGGATGACAGGCTTTTCCAAGTTTTTTATTTTCTTTAATTTCAAGCTTTGCTTGCTGTATTGCAAAAAAAAAAAGTTGATTTCTTTTTTTTACAAAAATAAGTTTTGTTACGCATTATTCTAAAATTTAAATTTTTAATATTGCACATCAAAGCGTGTGCTAAAAAATTTTATAATAAAAATCAATCCAAATAATTCGTCCCAAACAAATACTTTTTCCCCAATATTCCAAACCAATTCCATTTAACCCATATCATGAATTTAACAAAAGTAAAAAAAATCAACTACCTGATGAACTCGCAGGACATACCATATATATTTTATATATATATATATGTTTGAAATTTGACAAACAAGTATTGATTTTTCAGTAATCAAAATCAACAAACTCAACGTTGGTGAAAAAAAAAAAAAAACAAACAAACTCAACGTAATTGTAAATGCTTATTCCCTTGTTTCGTTTTTAAACTTGCTATCGGTGAATGAGTTCTCACGGTTACGAAGGTGAGATAAGAAAAGCGGCAAGACAAACAAGGTGTAGTGTAATCTTATCTCTATGTTGTTGCGGGAGTAACACTGTTTTTTCGCAGACCAGAGCTCTTTGCCGCTCCACATGGCGCTCTCGTTCTCTCAATCGCTCTCTCATCGTCCTCTGCTTCACCGGAATCTTCCCTTCTCGCAGCAGTCTCATCGCATAGCTGCATCTAAGCTCACTGCCGGCTCCCTGAAATTCCCCTCCATTCGCTGTTCTTCGCCGCCTAATGATAAAACCCGAATTTCCCTCACACCTTGCAACCATTCCAAAACCTATTTCGACCCTGCGATCGGTGACCCGCTCGTTTGTCGGTACAGTGCCCGTTTGGGAGGTACTTTCTGGTTCCGTTGTTATTTAATTATTTGTTTATTTTCTTCTTCTGTTTTAGTCTCATTATGTGTTTTGTTAAAGGTTAATCTTAAAAATGGGAAACCAATAATGGAAGAAAGGGGGGCTCTTCTTCATTATGAATGAGGAAGTTCGAATTGATGAAGAAACACTGGGTGTTTTGCTAGTTGAAATAGCCTGTTCGTAATTACTCAAGTTTTCCTCTTGAATCATGTACTGCCAAGACTAGTATGAAAAATTCACATGTTGGAGCTTAAAATTTTTCCCTGACTGTGGTCTGAGCTTCGAATGCCGTGCCAATGTTTCATCTCTGATTGGGGGAAAATGAAAATGAAAATAAACTCTACTCTTGCCACTGTAAGTGAACTTTTTCAAGACTCGGAAGTTAGAGAAACAAAATTTAATAGTCTTTGCATAACCTGCAAGTTAGTGTTGTTATCGAGCTAAAAGTGATTCCTGAAAACTTATCTTGAGCTTTATTTAGTGAACATGCCCGCTTGAGAGTATTGAGAGATTGGATATCTTATTCTTGTAGCCTATGACTGGCGCCCCAATCCATTTTAGTTTAGTTTTATCTTTTCATAGATCTTCAGAGAGACCATTGCATGTCTGTTTTCAGAAGTTGCTATTAACTTTTTCCTTGTGTGCACAAATTCATATAGGAAAATGATGAAACTAGTGTGTTGTATGCCGTTTTAGACTACATGGAGCCATCTGGAATGTCCCTTAAACTCCGTTGCCATAATGAATGATATCTTTATTGGGTAGGCATGAGCACAATCACTAGTTCTTCTTTTTAGAAGTTAACATAGCTCTACCCAGAAATTCAGAAGCTTACATTCTTGAGCTTTACCTCACTGTTCCTGGAGTTGTCTCTAGGGCTAAGGGTTTTGATTTCAAGTCTCAAATGAAGCCAAATTGACCAAAAAGAAAGGTTCTAATCTCCTCACAAATGATATATTCTTCTATGGTCCTAACCAATTGAAGCCAAACTGATTAGGACCTTAAAGAAATGTTCTAATCTTTTCACAAATGATATAGTCTTCTATGGTCCTAAGCAATCAATTATAGTTAGTTGATTGTTGGTGTCAATTAGAAGTAGCATCAGAAACATCTGCTTGATAAAATGAATTTGAGGTGTAATTTCCAGGGGACAACTAAGCTAACTTCTAGTTTTATAGTGAGAAATATATAGTGAATAACAATCTTCTTTATACTCTTTGCCTAAATTTTAAGTTAGTAGTAGAGGACACAAAGTACATGATGGTATACACAATGAATGCTAAATGCCTTATTTTGTTTTGCAATGTTCGGAAAGTAGAGAAGGGTTGTCTGGAAAGGAATTGATAAAGGGAGAATCACATTCAAGGCCCCTAGATGAGAAATAAATAGCAGTAAGGCCCAAAACAATAGAAAGTTCAGCTTGCACAGCTAAATCGCTGAACTTTGCCTTGTGCATTGCTGAATCTTTTGTTGTTCTGGGCACTCAATGCTATTTTTTCTCATCTAAGGGCCCTGAATGTGATTCTCCCATTGATATAAATATACCTATCCCTTTTTTTTAGATACATTCTTCATTCCTCTTCTAGAAAACATTTTTCTGCATACGTGTATGCACATTTTTGTAAGGTTCCTGGATTACTAGCTGTGCGACACAAGGGAATTCAGTTCATTACTTTCTCCATGCGCGCGCACATGCGCACATCACTGGTAGAAACTTGTGCATATAGCATACCCCTGCAAAACAATGCTTATTTCCTTCACTAAAAGGAGTGAGAGTTTTTGTATGGGAAATGGGACAGATAGAGGTATTTTTTGTTCTCTTTCACAACATACCTGCTTGAAAAATCTCTGGGAGCATTGATTTATGGTATTTCAGTATGCAGGTTCTGATTCTATTTTGTATGGTTTTATCATCTTTTGGATGCAAACCTCATTAGTTTTCTTCTTTCAATTATTTGGCAACACATTCGATGTGTGAAAACCTAATGCTGCAGGGAAGGATAGTGAAACCGCAAATGTAGAAGCATATGCAGTAGGCCGACATATTCGTATGTCAGCCGACAAGGCTAGACGAGTAATTGATCAGATTCGTGGACGTTCATATGAAGAAACACTTATGATATTAGAACTCATGCCTTATCGAGCATGCGATGTGATCCTGAAATTGGTGTTTTCTGCAGCAGCAAATGCTAGCAATAACCTGGGTTTAAGCAAAGGAAGTTTAGTTATTAGTAGAGCTGAGGTCAATGAAGGTAAAACCATGAAAAGGGTAAGACCTCAAGCTCGTGGACGAGCTTATGCGATTAGAAAGCGAACATGCCACATAACCATTGCAGTGAAAGGTTTACCCAGTGAGGTTGAAGTGGAAGCAAGCCCTGCTTAATTCTTTTCTATGACCATGTGCATGTATGCTTTCGTATGAACTTCATTTAGCCACTACAGGGATGAAAATTTGTGTATTTTGACATTATGTTTTTCATTTCCTTAAGTTTTTAGGTTCAAGGTGGTCTTAATCTGTGTCTTTTTTGGGAGAAGGACTTTTAGGGAACCTTTAAGAACATTATTTACAGTTAAGGATTCTGAAATTTTGAAATTCTAAAAAAGAACCATAGTCCTTAACTAGAATTAAAACTCGTCTGAGTTAATTTTTACTGATCATCTGAATTTTTAATATTCATCTTTTACATTTTTAATATTTATCTTTAGTATTTTTAATGGTCATCTTAGATGGTTTCAATGCTCATCTTCAATGTTTTCAGCACTAAAAGCCAAATTGTTTTTAATTTTTGTCAGCACTAAACTGGAATCATGAGAAATAGGTATTGAAAATATTCAAGGTGATTACTGAAAAAGAAACTGAGTTCCAGAATGCCAAAGATTACTATTAAAAATGTGAAAAATGAAAATTGAAATTTGAAAATATGAAAAATAAGTACTGACAAAATTCAGTCAGAAATTTTTTATTTCAACTAATGATTGTGGTCTTTTTTTTTTATTTTATAATTTTAGAGTCCTTAACTTTCATTAGCGTTTTTGAAGGTTCTTTAATGTCTTTTTCCCATCTAATTTTGCTGCTCTTCTCAGTCAGGTTTACTTCCTTTTCTTGGGTTTCCATTCATGGTGCAGTACATCCAAGTAGCCAAAATTGTTGATGTAGCTATATACATTATATAGCCACTCATTTTCTTTTCTCATCAGTTGGATCACTCTTAACTTTGGCAAAATAATTTGATTTAATGTCCCCCTTTGGTAAGAAGGATTTCCTGTTGAAAACGGAAATGAAAAAGTAATCAAATTTGATGGACTCATGGATTAGCGATGAAAAAGCACTGAGTTAGTGTGGTTAAAAGCAATTTCAGATGGAAGAGGATTCATCAAATTTAATGGACTCCTGGTTGCATCGCTAAATCAATGGAACGGTCCGACGGAGAGTGATCCCAAGGAATGAAGCATCTAATTACCATTTTGTCGTCATTTCCAAAACTTAATAACTATTTTGACCTTTACTTGTGATCTAAATCTTCTCTCTCCTCGCTCCTTTCATAAATAATAACTATTATGACTTTTAATTTTTAATAATTTTTATTTCTAGGGGTTTTTTTTTTTTGGTTTTACACATCTTGTGCAAATTTTGTTCATCATTTCAATACACAAACAAAAAAATTTTACAATATAATTCTACACGCCATATCTTGATATGAAGGTTAATTTCCTCCCTCTTCCCATTGTAATTTATTCCAGCACTTTATTTAAAATTTTCATATGTAAAGTTAAAATAAACGGTAGAAGCTCTTGTCACTAAAATAAACGGTTGAAAATTTGAATTCCAACTTTATCATAAATAGCAACTTAGGTTATGTTTGGCTCAACAAAGAGAAGGGAAGGGGAGATGAAGAATTTTAATGAAGGGAAGGAAAGGCAATGATACAAGGCAATTGAATAATAGCTCACAATAATTTGAAATCCTACGTGTGTTATGTAATGTCATTCCCGACATTACCAAATATACATTACACAAGACATGAAATATCGTTATGATAATTAAGATTAATTAAATCCTTATATATGATTATTATAACACAATGGTTATGAAGAAGTTGAAGTAATCGGGATCCTAAGAAAATACTTTTTGAAAAGTTATTTGAGCTCAAATTATAGTTTAAAACAAGTTATAAAAGATAGTGGAAGCAAGAAAGTTAAATAACATCTTAAACGAGCATTAAAAAAACATTTTAATTACCCTAAAAGTGCTCTATCTGTTGCAATGAGTGTGTCGTCTGCCATGACAAATGGTAGAAAGAACCCAAGGTTCTCGTTGAGTAATGTGACGCAGTGCACTTACCTTGCGCTATGGTGCATCGCTGCTGTCATGACAATACTTTAGGTCTAACTTCTAGAGCGCTCCATTTTGCCATCTGATGTACGATTTGAGTGATTCAAACATTTACACGTATCTCTTAGAGCCACTTAGCTGTTAGTATCGGTATTACACCCAAACGCTAAACCAATTGAATGTTGGAAACTCGAACACAAAAGGGTCCATTTTTATTCTAAAATAACATCCAAGGTGTCCAAAATTACATACCAAGTGCCAAAAATCATAGAACCACTTGAACTAACTCAAATAGGCCCCAAACAACCTAATTACACAATTAAACCACAATAATAACATTTTGAACACAATTTGGCCATCCAAACCCCAAATTCAACATAATACAAGGGGGTACAACAATTTGTCATAAATATCTTTATGGCCATTCAAATGCATAATCAACACTAAAATAACACTTGCACTAGTATCTCGACCTCTGCAAATATTACATCACAATTTCAATGTCTTAGGTCGAGATACCTATAGTTTACAATATTATTTATGCAAGTGACTATAAAATGGCTTCATGATCCTAAGTTGGCATATGAATAAAAAATTCGTTGCAAATCAAAAGATAAAGGGAGGACTATACAATTACAAGTTTCCTTAATGCTTAGAAGCACATTCCTTCTCTTTTTCCCCATCAAAGCCTTCACTTAAAAAAATGTAATTATGGGTGAGTCGAGGACTTTGTAATCAAATAATCTAAACAAACTACTCATAAGTAAGAATAATAAATGCGTATGTGAAGTAGCAATATATTAGGTACTTAGAAAAATAAGTTCACATATACACATGATTATAAAATAATATACATGATCACACCACCTTATACCTTCCTTATATCTTTCAACTGAATCTTTAGGCTAACAATTCAATGGAACTAAATCTATGTAACTGGATTGGCTTAAGCTCACCAATCATGGAAGGTAGCCCTAGCTAAGAGTACCTTCACCCATTATAGACCACAAATTCTCCCTTTCCACAATACCCGTGTGTTGATGCTCAATCTATCTTACATAATACTGTGACTTCCAAAAAATTATAAGACTATGCACTAGGACCTCCATGGTGCTAGTATACTATATGAATTTTTAAATAATGTCCCTAACACCACACTAGGGTAAACTCTCATCTCTCACAATGATCATGCTAAACATATCCTCAACAATTTCACACATAACCATAACATAATAATTTCCACTATAATAATCATTTCCACCATAAAGCATAAAATTTTACAAATACTTATACTTGAATATAATATTTAGTCTTCAAAAACACAATACTCAAAACATGATTTTCTATTCCATTTTGCATAAATTTTCTAAATCATAATCATTTCATATTAATACTATAGTAAAAAAACAAGAGTATTAGCTTTAGTAATTACCACATACTATCCAAACATGTAAATAAAGAGTTTAGACAATTCGATTATCTCAACCCTTTGATCATTAAAAGGGTTACTGTGGTCAAAACTTAGCTCCACAAGTGTCTACTAGCATAACAATACTGGATCAATATTTAATCTATAAGATTAAACATTAAATCATCAATTTACACTCTAATTAACCCCTTTTTTAACATAATTTTGGGTACTCGCTATACTCAAAACCTTATGTTAACACTATCAACTCTCTCAACACACTTCATTAATCCCATTTAGTACCCAAACATACTAATAACACCAATCTTCTACCCACATTGCTCTTAAACTCATACATTTCACTTAAGGTTCGCCCAAACCTAGCTAAAAACTCTAAATCACTAGACAATTTATAAACCTAGGTTTAAAAACTTGATTTAACTCCTCACTACCTTAACTAAGGCAATGAATGTTGGATTAGGAGTCTTAGCAAAAAATTAAAATTCAAATCCCAATTGCGATTGCGAACCGATCAAATTCATTTAAGTCAAAGTAATAGAAGAAATACATTTTCTAGCAGTGAACTTCTCGAGTTTTCCTTAAGTGTTTAGACCTTAAGAGCGAACAATGCAGATTGGCTCCCTTTATCGATATTTACAAGAACAGCTTTCCAACACGAATAGCATCCTAGTGCTTCTAACTTTCGTTTGTCAATCAAATGTTCCTTTTGTTTCCTAGGATATTTTCGTAGCCCTTAAAGTTTTGTCATAAAGAGACTCTCTCACTAGAAACTTGTCCCTTATCTATATTATATAGATTAGGGTTTTTGTAGCTAACAAAATTAACTTTAATATATATCATAAATTAAATCTATGATATCATATCTAATTTGAATTTATCTAACAAATTCAAATTATAGGATTGATATGATATCTTCTTATATCATGTTAGTCATTAAATTTAATTTCTCATATAAAACTAAATTTAAAACTAACACAATAATGTAATATAATATAATAGAATATAATATATCATATATATATTATTATATTATATATATACATGAATATATATATTTTGAAAAAAAAAACACACACACACACACACAAATTATATTTTATATTTTATATTTCATATACATACATACGTACATACATACATATATATATATATAATATATTTAGCAGGTAAATATTCAAATACATACATATATACATACATACATATAATTTATTCACCCTAAATAAAGTATTATGTTCATTGAATCTAGACACATTCTAGATTTAATGAACTTAGATATTATAGCTCTAGTTGGGTTGTTCTTGTGTACGATCCTGTATGCCCCTATGAAGTTGGCAGCAGGCCAATAATACTATTAGCTCATAAGTTACAAGTAGCTTTTACCAAGATATTGTAACTACCTAATTCATATAAAGATTAATGATTTGATGTAACCTATCAAGTGTGAAATATGAAATTATCATTTTCCTTTACCGGACCATTACTTTCTCGATCTCTAAGTGGACTGACTATAATAATGGAAAAACCCTTTCCATTATAATATGACCATATATTTTCTTAGTTTTACTCATTGAGAAGCCCAATAATATCTCTTAATTAATGTGAGGGACAAATTTCATCTTGACTACTCATATTCCTCTTCATGAATATCATTAAATTCAATTCAATTATAGCCTTTATAATCACCTGGTTAAAGATGACTTTTGACTAGGTCAAAATTCAGTGGTCATCATGTAGGAA